TAAAATACAAGATAAGTAACTCACAGATCTATGTTGAGTATTGAGCAATGAACTCTAAAGGAAACATGATAGGTATCATCATTTGGTACAAATAATAGAGCTATATATGGCACGCAGTCCTGAACACTATTTCTGTATGCAACCTTCGCAGCAACAGGCATGTAGTCTTCAAGTAACCTTCATCGAGGGTCCAACACTGTCAGGCTAAGTTGATTGGTTGAAGATGATTCAGGCTTGCCGAATAAAGAATCTATTTCAAATGATTGCTTGTCAAAAAGGAAGCTGGGTTCTTTGGGTTGTGTCAGTGCTGTCTCACTACCCAGCATCAAAACCACAGATGACATACTCGGCCTGTCTTCAGGATGTTGTTGAAGACATAAGAGACTAATGTGGATGCACCTTAATACTTCAGATTGAGTGCAAGATTCTTGTACAGATGTATCAATCAGTTGTAAAGCATTTCCTTCTTTCCACAATCTCCATGCCTGAATAAAAATTATAAACACTCTGTCATTTTCTAGTTCTTGCCTACAAGGACAAGGTAGGAATTGAATCTTGACACTTACATGTCCAATAAGGTTAAGGCTATGGTTGAGATGGTAAAACCCTTTACTCTTCTTCCCACTTATTATCTCCAGCAACAATATACCGAAGCTGAAAACATCAGATTTTACTGAGAAAAGCCCATTAATGGCATATTCCGGGGCCATATAACCACTGCAGAGTGTAGAAAACAATTAAGACAAACAATAACAGCAGGTATTCTGTAGTAAATTAGGCAGCATAGAGATAGGACTTTACTAGGTTCCAACCACTCGCTTTGTACTGCCCTCAGATTGTTCTCCTCCAAATGTTCTAGCCATGCCGAAGTCTGAAATTTTGGGGTTCATTGCACTATCAAGCAGAACATTGCTTGCTTTAAGATCTCTATGAATGATCCTCAATCTAGAATCTTGATGTAGATAGAGAAGCCCCCTAGCAATTCCACAAATAATGTGAAAACGCCTTGACCAATCTAATAGCTTCTTTCTTGCATCATCTGTCATGTAACATGTTCTCTGTATTAATGTACCATTCAACAAGAGTTTTTGAAAAAGAATTGCCTTGAAAAGATGAAAACAACTTGTGATGAATTTATACTACTACTAAGTTAATTAAACAGGTCTCATGAGAATTCTAACCAAAAATGAAGAAGTCCAAACTTTTATTAGGCATATATTCATAAATCAGCATTTTCTCCTCCCCCTGAATGCAGCATCCTAAAAGCTTTACAAGATTCCGATGTTGAAGCTTGGCTATAAGTGCTACTTCATTCTTGAACTCAACTAATCCTTGTCCAGAGCTTCTTGAGAGCCTCTTCACAGCAATTTCTTTTCCGTCTGGCAGAGTACCCTAGAAAAGTGTACTTGTAAGTTCATTTGATCTTAAAAAAGACTTCTTATCCTAGTAGTCATTTTTACTAAAGCTCTGAACATTTACCTTGTATACAGGCCCAAAGCCACCTTCTCCTAGCTTGTTGTGGGAAGAGAACTCATTGGTGGCCTTGGATATTACATCTAACTCAAATAATGGGAGTTCCATATCTTCATTTTGCCTTTCATTGTCCTTGCCATTTTCTCTTCCTGAAAGGATGAAGAATAAACAAAAACCAAATGGTAATAAAAGAACCAACAGAAGTTGCTAGCAATATTTAATGGCAACAAAATTTGCAAAGGCAAATAAGAATACCTTCTATGTTTTGACGAATCCTGAGAATGTAATAGGTGATTACAAGAACAACAATTACTAAAAGGATGGCAGTTGCAATTATCAGTCCTGCCTTCATTTTACTATTGCCTTTTGTCTCGTCATGGTCTAATTCAATAAAGCAAAGAAGAAATATATGAATTAGAGACATAGTAATGAAATTGTTTCAAATATTTACTGAAAATAACACTGGTAACACCCAACATAAATAATAAACGGAACATAACTCAATGACCACTGAAATGCTAGGTTGAACCAAAAGTAACCCAATACCTGAATCAGCAGCAGACATTCGAATATATAAATCCTGTCCACCAGACTGGACCTGTTTAAGATCAAGTAGATCACCAATCCAGATCGCACAGCCCCTGACTTCCTTAATATCCAGGGTTGTATAGGCCATACAAGAACAATTCTCCAAGCATTTAGCTCTGCACTCATTGAGATCCATACTTTTATTCACCCAAGAATGTTCAGTATCTGGCAGTTTCAACCCACCAAATTTTTTAAATCCATTTCTTTTCTGGCAGTCCAGCGGTTTGTTACGCACACAACCCTGAATCCAGTCCACTGAGCTCCCTTCTTGTGATTTAAACCTGAAACCTTTCAAACATTGACATGGCGGCAGTGCTGCATTCATACAGGTCCCATATGCCCCGCAAGTCCCATAGTTGTCACAGTTATCCCAAGGAAACTGATTGAACAATGTCCAATTCCTAGCTTCTTCATTCCATAAGTAGCGCTCCCCCCTAGTGGAAGTTTGATTCAAAATGACCCTTGTGGTTACAAATTTGCTTGTCGTGTTATAAATGAAGTAAACCTCCTCTTCATTTGAGATGAAGTTGAACTTGAACCACGGATTGGGCTTCAAGTGGAGTGCACCACTCATTCCAATGCCATTCCAGGGTCCAGACCGGAAGTACTTTTTTGAGCCTTTCCACATAACAAGACCAGGATAATTATAAGGCTCTATCTCGTAAATTAAGTCTCCAGGGCATGGATCATCTGGGGTCTTCCATGCTGACAGTCGGCGATTAAGACCACTCCTTAAGTCCAATCCAAGTTTCATCCCCGGAAGCAAAGTATCAGTAGGATAGTCAAAGCTTTGCCACAAAATACCAGCATTTCTATCCTGGAGAACAAGATTTCCAGAATCCAGGAGCTGAACTACTGGGTTTTGAGCTTCTTTCTTCACGTTTGATGTCCAAACAACACTCCCGCTTTGACTAAAGAGTACGAGATTGCCTGTGCTGTTTATCATCAAAACACCAGATGAGTCATTTATCGGATTGCACCTGTTTGCAACCCAAACAACAGTTTGAACTTCTTTCCTGAACCAAATCCCCAAGTAACGGCTCTTACCAGATCTTCCAGAACTGAAGAACCCCAGTTCAAAGCTTCCATCACTAGAAACCAAGGTTGTGCCATCACTAAAATAGCTGGGTGCGGTAATGATATCAGTTCCATATGAGAATCTAGACAGGAAAAGCGGCAAGAGGATAATGATAATCAACATTAAAAGTTGAATATCCATTGTCTTGCAATTTTTCATGAATAACAAAGAGAAACTTTATGGTGGCAGGCCTACAGGGATAAATATCACGTGTCTTGCGTGTTGACTAAATGACTGGTGTGCAAGTTTTTCCTGCAATTTCCGACAACGACCCTTTCAAGAAGTCCCCACTACCCAAAAAAAATACTGTAGTTGGGACTTAATTTCTATAGGAAACATGACTTAATAATGACAACAGTCAAAAATCCTAGTAATTTAGTCCACGAAATGGGGCCACATAATTACTTTCATTACTTTCTCAGAAACCAAACCGAAAGGGCAAGCAATTTTCATCTCATACCCAATAATAACAAATAGAAAAACAAATACCCAGAAATAAATTTGATTAATACATATACCTGAGGCTGAGTAGCAACACGAACAACCGCGCTAGTGATAATCTCAGTCAATATGGGCCGTGAAACGCCAGCGCCAAAGAAGACGACGAGTTAGCAGGTGAAAAGTGAGGAGAGATTTCATATTCCCTCACTTTCCAGAGATCAGAACATAGTCTCTGGTCTGTCTGTGCGTGTGGTTCCAGAGAAAAGGGTGGATTCTGCAGATCGGTTCCGAGAAGCCGGTGATCGTCTCCATGTGTAGCAGCCGGTGATCACTTCTAAACGACCCTCTACTCATTTTTGCTTTGTATGGGGTTCTTCTCCTTGTGCTGTAATTTTGGGAGGGAGGGCCAAGAAAGGTCTGAGCTTTTTCGCTTGAACTTGAACGTCTACATGGTTAAGACTATCGTCGCGAGTACCAGATGAATTTCTACTAGTTTGTAGGCAAGATCTGTTTAGCTCGAAAGAGAGTTTCTAGAAAACTTAATTTTAGGAAACCTTTTTTTTTCCCCCCGAAAATAATATAGTAATAAGGCAAAGAGATTCATGTAATAGTTTTAATTGTATATTCAAAATATACTATTTTTCATATAAATTTATATGTTGGGAGGGTGGGTGAAAATAATAAATTTATAAGATAAGTTGTATTTTTAATATATAATATGTTTTAAAAAATATTATTTTAAAAAAATATGTTTTATATATTAAATTACACATTAAAAATATAATTTGATTGCACCCGCAATTTCGACTACTTTGATCAGATGCACTTAAAACTCATGATTTCGATCAAAGTTTAAAACTGTAGTGTGCAGCTTTCTACTCTTTCCTCCTTCACATTCTTCCTGTTCAAAAAATATATATATATAATTTGATTTATAAATTTACTTAATTATTTTTTATAAAATTAGTTTTTATTAAAAATATTTTAATAATTTTGTAAATCAAACTATATTTTTCATATGAAGTTTAATACGTAAAATATCAACCTTAATTATAATATAATATTACTTAAAATTATAAATTTATAATATTTTATTAAATAAATAATGACGTATAATATAATTTTAAATTTAAAATCTCACTCTAACATTATAAGGATAGATATAATATTAATCTGATAAGACATTAATAGCCATTAGTGATCTGTTTGGATAAAGAAAACAAGAAAAAATTACTTTAATAATAAATTGGAAGAGAGGAGACGAATTCAGGAAGGTGCTTCACATATATATATATATATATATACACACACACGTATGTATGTATTTTTTCCCTTGAATAAGTTTACGCACAGCCTGCTTTGCCAAAGGTAGGAAATAAGCCTGCATTTCTCGTCTGGCAGTGAAATTTGAATGTGCAGAAGTGGAAAAAGGAATATTCAACTACAGAAGGGTAGAGGATTGATAAATTAGCTATCTTAATACTCCAATTAAAATACAAGATAAGTAACTCACAGATCTATGTTGAGTAATGAACTCTCAAATCTAAAGCAAACATGATAGGTATCATCATTTGGTATAAATAATAGAGTTATATTTGGCATGCACTCCTGAACACCATTTCAGTATGCAACCTTCGCAGCACCAGGCACGTAGTCTTCAAGTAAACCTTCATCGAGGCTCCAACACTGTGAGGCTAAGCTGATTGGTTGAAGATGATTCAGGCTTGCCGAATGGGGAATCTATTTCAAATGATTGATTGTCAAAAAGGAAGCTGGGTTCTTTGGGTTGTGTCAGTGCTATCTCACTACCCAGTATCAAAACCACAGATGACATACTCGGCCTGTCTTCAGGATGTTGTTGAACACAAAGGAGACTAATGTGGATGCACCTTAATACTTCAGATTGAGTGCAAGATTCTTGCACAGATGAATCAATCAGTTGTAAAGCATTTCCTTCTTTCCACAATCTCCATGCCTGAATAAAAAATATAAAAATTCTGTCATTTTCCAGTTCTTGCCTACAAGGACAAGGAAGGTAGGTATTGAATCTTGACTCTTACATGTCCAATAAGGTTAAGGCTATGGTTGAGATGGTAAAAACCTTTACTCTTCTTCCCACTTATTATCTCCAGCAACAATATACCGAAGCTGAAAACATCAGATTTTACGGAGAAAAGCCCATCAATGGCATATTCCGGGGCCATATAACCACTGCAGAGTGTAGAAAACAATTAAGACAAATAATAACAGCAGGCATCCTGAAGTAAATTAGGCAGTATAGAGATAGGACCTACTAGGTTCCAACCACTCGCCTTGTGTTGCCCTCAGATTGTTCTCATCCAAATGTTCTAGCCATGCCGAAGTCTGAAATTTTGGGGTTCATTTCACCATCAAGCAAAACATTGCTTGCTTTGAGATCTCTATGAATGATCCTCAATCGAGAATCTTGATGTAGATAGACAAGTCCCCTAGCAATTCCACAAATAATTTGAAAACGCCTTGACCAATCTAATAGCTTCTTTCTTGCATCATCTGTCATGTAACATGTTCTGTGTGTTAATGTACCATTCAACAAGAGTTTTTGAAAAAGAATTGCCTTGAAAAGACGAAAACAACTTGTGATGAATTTATACTACTCCTACTAAGTTAATTAAACAGGTCTCACAAGAATTCTAACCAAAAATGAAGCAGTCCAAACTTTTATTAGGCATATATTCATAAATCAGCATTTTCTCCTCCCCCTGAATGCAGCATCCTAAAACTTTTACAAGATTCCAATGTTGAAGCTTGGCTATAAGTGCTACTTCACTCTTGAACTCAACTAATCCTTGTCCAGAGCTTCTTGAGAACCTCCTCACAACAATTTCTTTGCCGTCTGGCAGAGTACCCTAGAAAAGTGTATTGTAAGTTCAATTGATCTTACCAAAGACTTCTTATCCTAGTAGTCATTTTTACTAGAGCTCTGAACATTTACCTTGTATACAGGGCCAAAGCCACCTTCCCCTAGCTTCTTGTGGGAAGAGAACTCATTGGTGGCCTTGGATATTACATCTAACTCAAATAGTGGGAGTTCCACATCTTCATTTTGCCTTTCATTGTTCTTGCCATTTTCTCCTCCTGAAAGGATGAAGAATATAACAAAAACCAAATGGTAATAAAAGAACCAATGGAAGTTGCTATCAATATTTAATGGCAACAAAATTCGTGAAGGCAAATAAGAAATACCTTCTATTTTTCGATCGCTCCAGGGAATGTAATAGTTGATTACAAGAACAAAAATAACAACAAAAATGGTTGCAATTATCAGTCTTGCGTTCATTTGACTCTTGCCTTCATCATCGTCTAATTCAATAAAGCAAAGAAGAATTTCACATATTTACCGAAAATAAAACTGGTAACACCCAGCATAAATAAATAAACAGAACATAACTCAATGAACACTGAAATGCTAGGCTGAACCAAAAGTAACCAAATACCTGAATCAGCAGCAGACATTCGAATATATAAATCCTGTCCAGCAGACTGGACCAGTTTAAGATCAAGTAGATCACCAAGCCAAATTGCACAACCACTGGCTTCCTTAATATCCAGGGTTGTCTAGGCCATACAAGAACAATTCTCCAAGCATTTAGCTCCGCACTCATTGAGATCCATAGTTTTATTCACCCAAGAATGTTCAGTATCTGGTAGTTTCAACCCACCAATTTTTTTAAATCCATCTCCTTTCTGGCAGTCCAAAGGTTTGTTGCGCACACAACCCTGAATCCGGTCCACTGAGCTCCCTTCTTGTAATTTAAACCTGAAACCTTTCAAACATTGACAAGTTGGCAGTGCTGTATTCACACAGGTCCCATATGCCCCACAAGACCCATAGTTGTCACAGTTATCCCATGGAAACTGATTGAACAATGTCCAAGTCCTATGTTCTTCATTCCATAAGTAGTGCTCCCCCCTACTGTAAGTTTGGTTCAAAACGAGCTTTGTGGTTATAGATTTGCTAGTCGTGTTATATACGAAGTAAACCTCCTCTTCATTTGAGATAAAGTTGAACTTGAACCATGGATTGGACTTCAAGTGGAGAGCACCACTCATTCCAATGCCATTCCAGGGTCCTGACCGGAAATACTTTTTTGAGCCTTTCCACATAACAAGATCAGGATAATTATAAGGCTCTATCTCGAAAATTAAGTCTCCAGGGCATGGATCATCTGGGGTCTTCCACGCTGTTAGTCGGCGATTAAGACCACTCCTTAAGTCCCATCCAAATTTCATCCCTGCCAACAAAGTATCAGTAGGATAGTCAAAGCTTTGCCACAAAATACCAGCATTTCTATCCTGTAGAACAAGATTTCCAGAATCCAGGAGCTGAACTACTGGGTTTTGAGCTTCTTTCTTTGAGTTTGATTCCCAAACAACACTCCTGCTTTGACTAAGGAGTACGAGATTGCCTGTGCTGTTTATCATCAAAACACCAGATGAGTCATTTATTGGGTTGCACCGGTTTGCAACCCAAACAACAGTTTGAAGGTCTTTCCTGAACCAAATTCCCAAGTAACGGCTCTTACCAGATCTTCCAGAACTGAAGAAACCCAGTTCAAAGCTTCCATCACTAGAAACCAAGGTTGTGCCATCAGTAAGATGGCTGGAAGAGTTGATGACATCAGTTCCATATGAGAATCTAGAGAGGAAAAGCAGGTAGAGGATAACGACAATCGACATTAAAAATCGAGTAGCCATTGTTTTGCAATTTTTCATGAATAACAAAGGGAACCTTTATGAGGGCAGGTTTACGAGGACAAATATCACGTTTCTTGAGTGTTGACTAAATGACTAGTGTGCAAGTTTTTCGTGCAATTTCCGACAACAACCCTTTCAAGAGGTCTCCACTACCCTGAAAAAATACTGCAGTTGGAACTTAATTTCTACAGGAAACATGATTTAATAATAAAAACAGTCAAAAATCCTAGTAATTTAGTCCACGAAATGGGGCCACATAATTACTTTCATTACTTTCTCAGAAACCAAACAGAAAGGGCAAGCAATTTTCATGCCATACTCAATAATAACAAATAGAAAAACAAATACCCAGAAATAAATTTGCTTAATACATATACCTGAGGCTTAGTAGCAATACGAACAACCGCGCTAGTGATAATCTTAGTCAATATGGGCCGTGAAACGCCAGCGCCAAAGAAGACTACGAGTTAGCAGGTGAAAAGTGAGGAGAGATTTCATATTCCCTCACTTTCCAGAGATCAGAACATAGTCCCTGGTCTGTGTGTGCGTTTGGTTCCAGAGAAAAGGGTGGATGCCGCAGATCGGATCCGTGAAGCCGGTGGTCGTTTCTATATGTGTGGCGGCCGACGGTACCATTTCTAAACGACCCGCTACCCATTCTTGCTTTGTTTGGGTTTTTACTCCTTTTGCGGTACTCCGCCTTGTTACAGGAAGGT